CTGTGCTGGCGGGCGCGCTCAGTCGCCGGGCCGTCCTCGTCACACATCACGGTGCGGTTCTGGACGAGCACTTTCACCAGGCCGGTTGTGACGCTGAGCCGCGGCATGGACGTGCGTCACACGACGAACGGATGGAGGACACCGGGCCGCGACGGCTCGCCGGCCGGGCGCCGCAGACGCCGGCGCGCTCCGAGTCATGCTGTACCTGCAGCGTATCGAGGTGGTGGCGCAGCAGGCACTGGCACACCTCGCCCGTGCTTCGGCCGCCGCACACCAAGTCCAAGGCAGCAGCGGCAACAGCAGTCTAAAGCCGCTACGCCGCTACCGAGGCGACGGGCAGCAGCCGGTCGGCCAGACAGCTGCGGCGGCGGCCAGCCGGCGTCAGTGGGGCGCACCAGCTGCGCGAGCACGGGGGGCCCACCGTGCGCTGGTACTGCACGTTGGTGAACGGCTTCCAATGGCTAGCGTTGAACTGGTTTTACCAGTGCCAGACCGGCGACGGTGCACCTGGTGCTCATGCTCCCGCAACCAGCCGCTCGCTGACCCTTGAACGCCGACGAGAGCACGAACTAATCCACGCCCCTGCTTGTCCTTTTAAACATTCATGCTCATTTTCAACACGCTCACGAAATAGATGGATTGCCACATTTCCAGGCCGTGACCAGGGGTGCACAACGGATTTTCGTGAGGAGCGGTCCGACCTGGCGTCGAAGGCCTTAGCACGCAGATTGCATGCACAAACCTTCTGTAATCGTCAACCTTGTGATCTTGATCTTGTAGTCTTTATCTTGTGATCTTGTGATCTTGATCTTGTGATCTCGATCTTGTGATCTTGATCTTGTGATCTTGATCTTGTGATCTTGATCATGTGATTTGGATCTTGCGATTTGGGTCTTGTGCTTTGGATCTTGTGATTTTGATCTTGTGCAATCTTGAGTGTTCTTTTTTGTAATGTTACCCAAGCTGGTGCCTTGAAAGCATCAATGGGTATACACTGCACTCTTTATAATGAATGCAAAATGTGAGCATGGTTATATGGATTACTACTTAAAATTACCTGGGCATAAATGATCAAAGATAGCAATAACTCAATACGGACGCAACCCTTGCCACTTGTCATAATAAGTGGGCACCATGATCAAACACTGGCAAGTTATGCCTTCAAGCCTTATTAATGTCTTCGAGCCTCATTATTTGAAACTATGCCCCGTAATCCAAAGCATGTGGCAGAATGTTGTGGATACTGGGAAAAATAAGTACACAAAGTAACATTTTCATGCTTCCATAACACGCTAAATGCTTACTGATGTGATGTCGACCGTGGCTGCATGATAGCCATGATAATGTTTATATTAAGCTTGCATGATACAATTAACAGCACTTGGTATGCTGCCCCTTTTATGGTGGTGTCCATTGGTATTGGAGTGGAGCCGGATTTCAGTCTAGACAGGTGCGCACCAAGAATAAGGCATTCCAAGTTAATAATCCAGCATTTGAAACAATAAATAATATTTCAATAATCTGCATCATCAGCAAGCTTGGGTACAGCAGTGTCTCTGAAATTGGAAGGCGGTTATGAAATTGCGAGGGAGATAAACAAAGGTTGGACGGCAAACTGAGCTATGTAGGGGACAAGTTTGCTCGCCAATCACATGTTGAAAGGGCGAACATAATACACATGTATTCTACGGATACAATTTGAGTGGACAACATGGCAGTGAAAGTTGGAGCAGAACCGTGCGAACCCTATCCCACCAGCGGTTACACAAATGGCAACAGAGATCTTATTCCCACAATACCATTGTCACAACCGGTGAGGCAGGTCCAGCCAAACCGGCCTGAACATTCACAGCACAGATTCAGAGCTTCATCCGTATCCCTGTACATGGTACTGGCTCAATAGCCCTCTGATTTACACAGTTCGCTGTCACAACTATGTAATAATTTGTACCTATTTGATTAACTAATTACTGGCGAACATTTCAACAGTTTGGCGATAACAAAACCAGCACAATCGTTGCCGGGACTCTATGCACCTTGCCCTTTATAGGCTAATACGCTATCTATGTCGGGTGCTATATGTGTCGGGCGCTTGCTATATGGCTTCAGAGCCATTACAGGGGTCATGTTTTCTCCGAGAAGGCGGCGAGACCTTCGCCTCTGTTGCCAGCCCACAATCCTTCCGAGTTCCGATTTCCACGGATCCTGGAAAACGTTAAGCTGATGTTGGTTTATGTACGTCGTTGGGGAAAACCAACTACTCCGCTTCTTTTGCTGCCCCACCTGCACTTGAACATCAGGAACAGATTTCATTTTTCCATTAACCCGCTAAGTCGTGTTCTATTCTTTGTTAGTTTTAAGCACTGCTTTTTGTGTTAAAGTAAGCTTCCGCAAGAGCGTTCAGGTGATTTAAACATAAGCTTTTTGGCACACATTCTGCCTCGGGTATCTCTTCCACTCTGCTTGATACACTCGGCCATTCGCTTCAAAGCTGCAATCCATCCCCACGATTGACTGTCATTGTCTAGAGCTAGCAGATGACATTCAATAAGCGTATTTTAAAACTCTTTGAAAGACGCTAATTGAGAATAAGTACGCAGTTCTTTGTTTCGTCCACCACTGCATTCTCGGTGCCGACACTTGCCTTGAGATCAGTCATTTTACCTTGCATTTTTGAAATGGCAGTAAGGAAATAAAACCCATGAATACTGTCGGCGGAAAGGTGGGAATCTGGAAAGCTTCAGTCACAAATTTGGAAACCCTCTTACACTGCTCTTGCACAAATTTAAGCATGCCTTGGACGTTTTCTTAAGATTTTTTGTGTCCCGGACGCTGGATGTACCATCACATGTTTGTGTCGAGCTATTCGTGGTTGGACACATCTAGCTGGCCTGTTGCATGTTAATGAACTTGCATGAAAACAGTCTTTTTCTGATCAGAGTGTCTATTATATACTAAAACCAAACAGAAACATTTAAGATAAACCTTTCAAACTTTTCGCTGCATTCATCCATTGTGAAAGTGGCTAACACGTGCGTTAGTGGTTTGGCGCAGACCACTGTGTTTATCCCAAAATACATATCCAATCCTGGTTTTCCTTGATTAAACTCAGTACTGGGCCTATCCTTTTTGAACGGGAGTGTTGCCGTACAGATTTGCTACATTCATGACGAAAGCGATACTACCCGTGTGAGGTTCGGTCGGAATCGCATTCTTCTCTTTCTTCGGGCACGACTCTGTGTTAGGCAGGTGAGCAGGAATCAGAGCCAAAGTCTGAATTAAAATCCTGCTGGGAAACTATGGCAGTTTGCCTTAAGGGTCACCGCATGCGGATACGATAGGACGAAGTGGAATGTTCCTCTTAAGGGTCACCACATGCGGATACGATAGGACGAAGTGGAATGTTCCCTTTAAGGGTCACCACATGCGGATACGATAGGACGGAGTGGAATGTTCCCCTTAAGGGTCACCACATGCGGATACGATAGGACCAAGTGGAATGTTCCCCTTATGGTTTTTGGGATATGCGGAACGGTGTTGGGAGCTTGGATGCTTTTTAAAAACCTTTCTTTGATGTTTTAGTGACACTGTCTGCACAGATGGGGGAGGTTTTTCTGGATTCACGTGTTTTATTGTTCAAATGTTGTATTTGTTTAACCTTTCTGAACCCTTTTCGCCCCTTTGAGATGAGCACACATCTAGCTCTGTGGCACCGCGTAACCAGCATCTCCTGGTAACATGAAGCTTGTTAACTCTACATAACAATTTTAAACTGGTAATGTGTCGGTGAAACCGATTAGGAAGGGGTAGAAAGATGTTATGCGCACAGCCCCATGGGTAGCGGATGGATTGGGTATAGAAAATTGTGCCCTTGAAGGTCCTTGATGTGCACCGACCGTCGTCCTCTGGGATAGGAAAAGTGCCCCAGTCCCCTAGTTCCCCCAAAACACAGTTTTAGTTGAATCCGGGTCTAATGCTGTAGTTGATAATTAATGGAATCTGCTAATTTAAAAATGTGATACCTTCCTTCAAATGTCGTCCTCTTTTGCCACTTTTTTGCCATCCCAGACGCAGTCTTCTTCAGTGTGTAACGCAAATATTAGGTTCCAGTTTCAATCAATTTTCGCACCGATACCATACACGCATCAATGTACGAAATAAGCATCAACACCGGGGACGATCGGATGCTGGCGACGTGCTTCCAGTATTACATCATGAAAGCATTAGAACTGCAGCAGGAGACGGAGGCAGTGGCGATGGTAGCGCCTGGCGCTGTGGAGGAGGCTCTTTATTAGTGTCATGCCCGGTGGCTGGCTTCTGTTTTGTTTCCTCCTTTGGAAGGGTACCCGAATTTAAGTCTTATGACACGCAGCAATTTTTGGTAATATTTATGTTAGCGTACCGTTTATCGCCTTTTACAATAAAGCGAAAAAATGATAAAATTTTGCTCCATTACATACACATATACACACACACACACACATATATATATATATATATATATATATATATATATATATATATGATGGAACAAGATAGAATGAAATAATATATACTGGAATGATATATGTGTGCATGTATATATAAGTGTCTATTTTTGAAACATTGTGTCTAGTCAATTCAACCAATTAAACTCACCATTAATCAGATCTATTAAATGTGGCTTCATTTAGTTTACGCTGCAACCCACTCGTGTCGATGACCGCTGCAATTGTTTAGCGAAAATGTGTTATGCTGCGACACATTACATAAAAAAACAACGTACCGCCGAACAGGAGGATAGAAAGGAGCAGTCCACGATAGGCTTTTTGAATTGCTCATGGGTCTGTCCCATGTAAAAACTGCTTGAGCTGGTCCGCTGGGTATACGTTACAGGTGTGTAACACCATCCAAAACGCGCAATCTCCTTTTTCGATTAGCTTTCGGCTCCACCAGCCCCAAATCAGCGCCGTGGTTCTCAAGATCTGTACTGTGCCCAACACTGTCCATCACCTTGCCAGGAGCCGCCCAAGATGCCGCCGGCAAGCAAGGAGAAGCACCTGCGCGACATGCGCGAGTACCTGACAACGGAGCTGCACGGCGCCATGCGGGAGTGCGGATATCCGGATGACCTGGGCGACTACAAGGCCGAAGACGAGCTGGGCAGCTTCGTCAGAGAGGTCAAAGCCATCTTCAGCGCCGGCTTGCAGACGGAGATCGGCCGCGTCATGGATGACGAGGTACGGGTGCCGTCTTTTCAGCATACGCCGTAACTGCCCGATCGGTACTTTGTAAAAGTGCGCTGACTGCTTTCTAAAGGAAAGGAAAGCAGGTTTCGAAACATGAAGGAAGGTGTGCATGTTCATGCCAGCAACTCGTATCCAACGCCACACAGTTATCATTCGACTTTGTCGCACCTCCTTTGACCGGCTCCGACTCCACAGAAACTGCAGTCGGCCAAGATCCGCAAGGAGAAGGACGAGTTCCGCGACCGTGAGGATGACGCCGATTCGTCCGACACTGACGAGGATGAGGAGCTAGGCAAGCGGAAGAAGAAGCACACCAAGCTGCGACCCAGTGATGTGGCCGGGCGCGCCCTGCTGACGGTCCTTGCTCGTGACCCCGGCCAGGCAGTGGCCCTCCCCAGCAGGTTAGCAGCTCGTCAGGTCAGGTTGGCCGCTGCGGGTGTCACAGGCGTGTCGCCTCGGGCCGTGCAAGTGACTTCCTTAGTGGGTCAGCACGCAGTAAAGTCAGGACGAGGCTGGTTCGACGCCCCGGTCGCATGACACATCGCCCGAACACGAACGGATCAGCAGGCCATGAGTCATGCTGGTTGCCTCTGAAGGAGGGCCTGGTCAGTTGAGTTAGCATACCATCTCAATCACCACACCATCAAATACTCGTCACTAGACGCAGTCGCGTTGGACATCAACAATGGCGCTGGTAAGACCATGGTGCTAATCATATTTGTATATCTTTGACTGGCTTGCTGGATGCTATACTCTTCATGAGCCTTAATTGGTCCGCATTTTCATGCCGTCCCCTGACGCAACAGCAGACCAATCAGAAGCTTTGAGTCACCGTTGAGCGCACGGTGGCGACAGGTTCTCGCTGTCCGCAGGCTACAGGGCCAGTATCCGCTGCTGTCGCGGCCCGTACGTCGCCACGTCTGGCTGACACACCTGCTCCAGGAGGAGAACAAGCGGCACGTCAGCGTGGCCGACGCCGAGCCCAAGCTGCTGGACGGCTTCAAGAAGACCCTGACCAAGAGGACCAAGGAACAGAAGGGACAGAGGGCGAACCGCAGCCCGCAGTGGAAGCTCATCGATAACGTGCTTATCGAAGTAAGATTAGACCCGGTGGTGCGAAACGAGGCGTTAGTTAGCGGGGCTTGTCAGGGCAACACAAAGCAATGAGAAATGGTCTTAACCCTCGCACTGACGGGGTTCTGCGCCAGCTTAGAACTGGCGGGGAATGAGTACCTGCCCTGCCCCCTCCTGTTAGTTTGGGACGAAATGGAGGTATACAGACAAGTGAAACGTCGTTATGTATTTCATGTAGCTCTAAACATATTAGCTTGGATCTTTTCTTGATCTGAGGTCAACATGAAAGTGATGTTTTGCCATGTACCACCTTGACATTATTTACAACCAAGCCGGAAATTTTGCACTAGCAATCGGGCAGAAGTTCAGTGACCTATGATCGATTATCTTTCGTGATAAGGGCCACATGCGAATAAGGAACGACACCACCAAGCGTAATGCCGAATACACACCGACAAGTCGTGCTGGTTGGCCCATACCACAAAATTATGAGGCAGGATTACACAGGTAAAAAAGGATTTTCACCTGTCTAAGATTTAGTTAAACCTTTACGTCGCACAGCTGGTGGGTGTTTCACGAAATCCAGAAGCAAAGGTCAACTGATGCCAATGACCTTTGCTGACGCAGAGTGCAATTCGAAGACCACATTGCACAGAAGAGTTAACGAGCAAAAACACATTACTAGCGAATGTCTCATTCAACGGCTTGATTCGACATGGCCAAGCCAATACCTACCTAGATCATTGAAATGACCTGATCTGGGGCAGGAGGGTCACTTTTCGAAATCGATTGAGGGTGGGGCGACTGAGCCGATAAGGCTCATCTAACGTGTCCCAAACCTGAGTTGTCCTCGGAAATTTACACTTTCATTTGCGTGCCCTGTGTGATAAAAGGATATTTTGTCGATTCCAAAGCTGTTTTGCTGCAGAGGAATGGCTTACCATTTTAAGGCTGTTTAAAGCTGCATTTGTATGAGCTTAGAATGCTTGTAGTGGAGTTTAATCTGCAGAAGAAAGCTTACTTATTCGAGCCTTTGTGACTACGGAAACAGGTACCGTTCGTCGTTCGTCGAAAGCGGCTCGAGGCGAACAAAACGATTTTATGAAAAATGGCGTGGTCTGGCACGTACGAACGATATTGTGTGGCAAAGTTTTGAGTGCACTGTTACGACATGCCCTGATATAAAAGTATTTCTGAGCTTGTGCGAACTTCTCAACAGACGTGCCGATAACTGAACGAACGGATTAGGTGATTGAATGTCGGAACGAAAGGACTGGTGACGGAATAGCCTGAGCAGCATTTTGACGCGTGTTTGAAGTTAATGCAACAACAAAGGTCTTAAATCTTGGGCCTTTGCGGTGATCAGTTGGCAGTTCTCATGGTGAAAGTAATCGGCTCTTAATATATGGGGAGGTGGTGGTAAAACGACGTTTTCAAAAAAACATGGGTTATATCGAGGAAACCGATTCACAGACCTGTGGCGGGGTGGGTTCGAGCCGCTCTAGGGGTTCGCTATTTGTGCCCGACTGGAATAGTCTGCGGCCGGTGACAGTGGCCGCGCTGATGGTCAAATAATATCAGAGGGCAAGGTGGACCGTCCCGAGTATTGCGGCACGTGATACTTTCGCCGTACGCTTCTGACTTTGACCCGAAATATCACGATCGGGTTAGGGCTTACCAGGCAAGCAGTAACTACTAGCGTGCGTGCGTGCAGTTGCACTAGCGTGAGTGCTTATCCCAGAAGAGCATCCAGTTAAAAGGTTCGGAGTGTAAGTCTTTAAAAGTCCATGGCCGTCCCAATCACACTGCATTGCTATTCCGCAGGGCTTCTAAGAAAGCAGTTCGTCTATCACGAATGGGAAGAGCGGTGTGTGTATTTCATGATTCCTAGCTGCATGAACACAAACATGCTAAAGTGTCCCTTTATTTTTAGTGAGAACGGATAAATGAAACACTGAGTGAGGTCTCCCGATCATGTTGGAAATTATCGGTTTACTGTGTCTTTGTGAAACTACAGTTTGTACAATGTGGCTCACATACAACTTAACACACGTTTTACTCAACAGCGTCAAGTTTATTTCTCGCACAAAATTGGACTGCAGTGGCATTTGAATTATCATTCAAAACAAAATGGCAAAACACACGGTGTGCGCTCCACTGGATTAGTTCGAGAATCATTTCGTTGGAATTCACATCGGCTTGAAGGGAATGTTTCACATTTGAAGACCTTGAAGCAATCGTCAGATGTGGCGAAATAAGCTCTGGTATACCTTTGAAGTTGAAAAGACTGCACCAGATAGCACAAATACGTTTAATTAGTATATTCCTCAATGCGTCATGGTTTGATTACGTCCTCGCCCCGTGCACACATTGACTGAGGGCCGATTGGTGGCCGTTAGATCTGGAAATCGCGCTCACACACGCCAGATACGAACGCCTCGACAATTGTGTGGCTTGGTCTTGGTAGCCACGTGGGTTTAAGTCGGGCCGCACCACCGTGGCCACTTGGCCGGACGTTCAATTACCTTTAGCAGGTTCAGCTGTCGTGCATCCTGGACCACCAGGACATGTGGAGACCCTTTGATGTCACGTTTGGGCGGGCGTGGAGTCACTGATGACCTCACTGCCGCTGATCGTTTTTTTACCGTCTAATTGGCAGGCGAAGACTGCCACAAGCACGATTGTGCGACTGATACGCTTGTCACTGTTAGCAAAACATGAGCTTACTTTTATGTGGGCCATCATGCTATTCATTATTTCCTTTTTGCTCATATGCGTTCGGGCTCAAATGAACCCGAATGAGGGGGGGGGGGGGGGGGGGCTCAAGTCAGCATTGAGGGTGCTCAGCCCCTCCCTGTGAAACCATATAAAGAGACGCTCCTGACATGAACCAGAAATGCCATGGCATATCCGAAATTCATGTGGCATGATCTACTAAAAGCATTAGGAAGATAGCTCTCGAGCTGTTCTAGAGCTATTCCAGACATGATGGATCGCGGTGGCTGCCCTACCCTCGCCCCGTCAGTGTAAGGGTAAGAGGGTGACGACGTGCCTTGAGGGCCTGCTCAGCTTGACGCAGATTCAAATGCGTGCCGTTTCTCACGCGATGCAACCGTCGTCACCTCGCGCAGGCTTATGACCGCTCGCTGCCGCTTCGGCCTCTCGACTGCGACGATCACTTGATCCTGGCGGCTCAGGCTCTGAACGTCCTCAACACCTTCAACAAGAACTTCACCCACACGCAGCCGTACTGGCTGTGTCCGCTGCAGCTGACGATGGAGCCGGAGGCGGACTCTGGTACGTCAGCGACACTCAACGGGATTTTGTCGATGCGAAACCGCCTTGTGACGAGTATACCGTACGTTATCTTTTTGTCAATATCAGACAGATGGTTCTGTATTCATATCTAGGGTTATAATTGGTCTGAGCGAAATATTCATTCACTGCGCTTGCTATGTGTCTAGTGAACATGTTTTTGTTTCAGGTATACAAAAATCATACCTATGGCTTTAATCAGCATCCAGGCCAGAAACAATGCTACATAAGGCGTCTAGTCGAGCAGTTGAAAGGCCAATGCCCGTTTCTTCATCCGTAACTTTTTGCTGACAGGGAATACGCCACCTTTTTGTACCTTTTCATTTATTGTTATATAAGACATGTGCGATTTGAGAAGCATTACAAGTATTCTCAAAATTCCCTTGAATAACCCAGAATTTTTGTTTGAAGCAGCGATTCCTGCGGGAGAAACCTCTTTCGACTCCCCGCTCACCGCGATTGAAGTGATGCATTACATGCGCCTTGCTTTTCCAACGTGTGTATTTTGTAATGTTTGCCACACACTTATTTGTCAAAATGCTTGTGTACTGAATACTACGAAATGTTGAATCGCGCTGTTAAGACAAAAGGGTATGGGAACATGAAGTTACTTTCCCGCGAATTTAACGAAGCCTTATACTGTGATTTTGATTTCTCCCCATTGGCGTTTACCACAATGTTTCTCTACGAGGCGCACTTTGGCTTTGGGAATGGGAGCATCACATGGTCTATGGTAACGCACTGGTCCAAATGTTTACCAATACATTTCATGGTAATAGGCTCTTGTTGCCCGCTGGGCAAATCACAAGCATTCTTATATTCGCACCAGTAGAGTGTCACTGCGTTGTCATACGACGGTGATCGCGACCACTGCAGGGAACAAGCGTAGTGCTGTTACAAGGCGTGGACGCTGTAATTTGGACCCTAAAATGATTAAAATTGATGTGCTTATCATGTCTTGACGTTGCTGCAGTGGCACTACCCAGTGCTGATATTAGACGTAACTGCTCCTGAGGTTTCGCTAGGGTATATTTTTGAAATACCATCCAAAGGTGGGACACTGTTTAACCCACAACGTTGAGCTGTTACACTGCTAACCTAGCGGCGGACCTATCACTCGCCTACTGCAGAGGAGTACGTCATCAAGCTGGCTGTTTACCTGGACCTGCTGCTGCGCCACTGCAAGCCGCCGACAGAGCAGCTTTTCAAAATCGCCGACCGCGTCATGGACAATGTGAAAGCGAAGGATCCGGAGTATCACAAACACCTGCAGGAGATCTGCAAAAACCGGCCAAAGGTCGTCATTCAGGTAGGGTGGAAATCCTGCATCGCGTCTCGAATGTCTCCAGATATCGGCATTCAATCGCGTCTGGAAAGTTGGATGTAAATGCCTTTACACAGGTTTCTTGATGTTCTCTGTTCCCGCGATCAAATGTAAAGATAGACTTATGTCATTCCGTGAATGTCATTTGTGATCCGCCGTGAAATTTTGAACTTTTGTCTGCGGCTCCGGGTCCCGTACTGGTTTTCATTCTGTAAAAGAACCTAGTGAGGCATAGCGTGCACAAAATCCAACACGCCCAATCGTGTTCGGTGGGCGAAATGGACAACTGCGTGTCCCATCGCACGAACACCATAAATTATTCGTGTTACATGATGTACAACGGCCCATGTACATGTTGTTGTCAACTGCCCATGTCCATGTTTATAATAAGCAACCGTCAACTGCGTAGCACGAATGCATTATGTTATTCGTGCAAACGCAGCACTTGCACTCGCGATTGATACACAATCATGCGATGGAAATGCTGGTGCTCACAGCTGAGTGCGGTCAAAGCATGAAATGCATGAGAGAAAAAAAACTGAAAAATGCCGCAATAGTTAGGAGGGCGTGCCACAACCTTCGACATTGATGGAGGACTCAACGTAAACGATATATTTTGGCACACCCGATCCTGTCAGTTCGTTGACAATATTTTGACACGCGTTGTAACGTTGTCCACGAAGGACTTCATTCCGGAGCTGTTGAACAAGGATCACAAGGCTGGAGTGAAACAGTATAACGAGATGCTGGAGCTGTTGAAGAAAGGCAAAGAACTGAGCAGTAAGCAGGCGGAGCAATTTGCGGATCCCAAGATCTTCCTGCGCAAGTGGCTGGTCCAGGTAAGAAGCTTCCGTCATCGGAGCGGGTTGAATCGGTAGGCACAGGTATGCCAACGGTCATGATTTGCCAGTTGCAGCTGCCAGTATTTGAAGGTTTTGGTACCAGACACTGTTTGTGCTAGCCGCCGGTACAGACCAATCAGTTTTTTTGTTGTTGTAGGGCAAGACCTAAGAGGATTACTGTCCTTGTTAATCTAGCCTGTTGATTTTGACGCCGACGTTTGGCCTTCTCGCTGGATTGTTGCGTTGATCTTCGGTGGTTGAAGCATGAATCTGTCATTCTTCATTCAGGCGTAACTATGGTGCAGGTGTAATGATCTGGCGATATATCTATTTTGTCATCAATCGTGAAAAATCAGTCCCACCAACAAATGCATATTTATTTTCCTAAGGCTGGGACGACATTGTCAATCAAAACGTGGCTTTCCATCCAGTGCTTGTGCAACAGCGGGAGTCTCGCTTTCGTGAGCAATTTTTGGTCGTTGTACCTTTATGACGCAAAGTACCAATATATTCTGGAGTTAACATATGGGGAATTTGCCCCCCCCCCCCCCTCTCCCCCCGGCCCCCGTCTTAAAGTCGCAACTTTGCAGAAATACTACAGCATAAAGAGTGAATGCCAGACAAAAAGAAAAACAGGATATGTCTCACAAGACAATGCCGCAACTTATGTTCAACTATAACAATCATTTTTGTTGGTGATCCCGATCTCTTCCGCAACCTTCCTTTTGCATCGACACCTGTAACGGCTGCGGTCACAACCCTGACAGTCTCTCCGTCGATCACCTTACCGTGACAAACCCGTGCTGACCTGACGAGAGCCCCAGTCGGTGCCTCCGGTGCCGTCCTGTACCGATGCGACCGGCGGATCCGTCTGTGACCGGTTCCGCGCCCCGGCGGCCTGCAGGGGTTCGTCGGCATACTGAGCGTGACCGGACTGCAGCTCATGTGGGACCAGCTGTTCCTGCGCGACTGGAACCGGGAGCTGCTCTACCACATAGCTGTGGGCGTGCTGCATCTCATCCGGCCCTGGATGATGAGGGCGACCTCCTACAGCGGTGCCAAAAAGGTCCGACAACGCCCGCCCATGCCGTCCTATCCGGCGCCAATTGTTAAAGGCTATGGGAGCGGAGGCGCGTACAGCGGGAAGTTTACCGGGTAACGCCAGTTCACATTGCCAGGGCTGACGTCATGTGCAAGAGAGAGAGAGAGAGATATAGAGAGAGAGAGAGAGAGAGAGAGAGGAGAGAGAGAGAGAGAGAGAGAGAGAGAGAGAGAGAGAGAGAGAGAGAGAGAGAGAGAGAGAGAGAGAGAGAGAGAGAGAGAGAGAGAGAGAGAGAGAGAGAGAGAGAGAGAGAGAGAGAGAGAGAGAGAGAGAGAGAGAGAGAGGAGAGAGAGAGAGAGAGAGAGAGAGAGAGATATATATATATATATATATATATATATATATATATATATATATATATATACAGGGATAGCTGTGTTATTGGCTTCAACGAGTCATGAACGGTGACATTCCACTGCATTTGAGGGCTGCATTTGAACGTGCTGCCGGCTGCGATGCGACATATCTGAGAGGCATACGCTCAGTTGCGTTATAACGGCGGACACCGCGGGGCCCGGCTTTTGTTGCGCGCCGGGCGCGGCTGCGCGTGGCCATCACCACACTGTCTTCGATGCTCAGCCCTATCCTGCGACAGGTGTTCCTGGAGGAGCCGGGGAAGCTGTACACGATGGACCTGCGCAAGGCGTTCATCCACCTGGTGGGCGGCGGCAAGTACGGCGACCTGCCAGAGAACAAGAACTACATCCGGCCGCCGACGCCGGTGCCCCCGCCCCGCGAGCCCACCCCGCCGCCACGCGAGCGGAAGACCATCCTGCCGCCCGGTAAGGACCTGGGTGTATCGTCAATCACGAAATTGCGTTGGAATAGAAAAAACGGCGGCGCTTCTGATAAAGGACATCAAATCTGAATAACTTTTCGAATAAAAGCCAATAATTGTTGAGCGCAAGACAATTTACTAAAGAACCATTTTCCCTACCTGCAGATAGTGGCCCCAGCTACACATAACATTTCCAAAGCGAGTTAACATCGTTTTGTGAGTGATAGGGGCTGTGCACGATCATTAGACCAAACGTTAGGGTAGACAGTGAAGTTAGATGAAGAAAAGCACAAAAGTGTGAGGTAAAGCTGTATTCAACGCTTCTTGATCGGATATATGAGGGCAAAAACAAATATATTCATTCAAGTCCAACGTAAGGTAGCACCTGGCGCCGGGTCAGCTAAGCTCGGTGTTGGCAAATAGAAGACAGGTGTTGATGATGGGACGAGCGAGATTGTGGTCGTGGAGTGGGACAGTCGGGTCACTCCCACATGTCGTTACGATGACTATTTTTTTTTATATGTAAACGACTTTGGCAGCAATGGTATCACAAATGTTTTAACTAATGTGTTCCATAGAATTAATAATTGTCAGCATTTTTATAATATGAAAAATTAAAATATTTTTTTAATAATACGGTGGAAACAAAAATAAACTGCATGTTCATGATAAAATATACAATAACAGCCCCGAAATGGTGCAATTCGTTCGGCTGCTACTAGTGGAAGGTTCGATGGTAGATAGCGGTGTAAACTGAAATCGCTTCGCATAGGTAACGCTTTGAGCGAAATAAGCACTTCTGGGTCTGAGAAGAAAATCGTTCCAGCTCAACAAATACCAATAATTATGCACTTTGGGTTGTGTCAATCAGCTTCCTAGCATGCTGCGCCACGGAAAAAATACATTTCAATAAAAATCTGAGAAAACATCCCATGTGATGACACCCTAGTGAGCACGTCACGCGGGCTCAGAGCAGGCGGCCAGTGACTGGCGACGCCGCGCTGTAGGAGCACGAGTCGGAGACTGCTCCCGTGGGATAGTTGCTATCGGATGGTTCAGCTTTTAGTGGACGTGGTCCGGGTTCTTCGTACGTCGCTTAGTGGGGATGACTGTGTGGTACCTTGCTTAAAATTCGCCTCGAGGCTTTGCTCATTGGGCGTATCCTAGTCCGTGTTTTTTGTCATTTGACATACAATTTTACATATGTTTAGAATATTGTTGACATCAGTTTGATTTTCTGGTGCGATATTTTGTGATCACGCACAACGCATCTGAAAACGATCGTTGCCGTCACGGAATTGTGTTCGTTCTCCTTCCAGTGAAGGATGCGGCTCCACCGTCGCCGCCCAAGCCGCGCTTCATGCCGGTCAACATCAATCTGGACGACGACGATGATGAAGACGAAGTCAAGCCCAAGATAGAGCCGCTGCCGGACTCAGCGTCCAGCTCGTCTGATGGTAATCGGCCGCAAGTTGGCACACCGGAAGTGTCGGGCGTGACCTATGACCTCACGCGTTTGACGGCTTCCACCTGTCTTATCCGGTTCTGAGTCGACCCAGTGACCATTGGCCCCAAGCTTCAAACTCCCGCTGCTAAATAACGGCTACCTCACCGGGCAGAGTCGGAAGAGGAGCCGCCGCCGCCGCCGCCGCCGCCGCCGCCTCCGCCTCGCGAGCCCACGCCGCCTCGGCGCACGCCGACCCCGCCGCCGCCGCCGCCGCCGCCCGAGACCGTGGCCTGGCTGCCGTACGACAGCGCTCATGACGCCAGCCTGCCGGAGGCGACCCCGGTCACGAGCACGTTTGATCTGTACATCGACGGCGCCCGCTTCATACCGGATAATGCCATCTTCTGCAAGGTCGGCGGGCCATCGGTCACCTCCCGGCCTGGCCAAATGAAGCAGGATTTTCGCATGGCGCGGCGTTGCGAAACTGGTTTCCTTTAGGCCAGCTAAACGTGTGAGGCATGATATAGTTTTGTACGTCTCTGAAATGCAATGTGCCTCCGTCTGCTCAGATCTCCCGCGGTGCGGATACCACCATTACAACTTTGAACCGAGTCGTCTGATATTTACCTGGGCAAAATATGGTGGTTTCCACAGAGGCTGTTTGCGGTTGCATTGTCTTGATCTGCCTCGGTTCTGGAAAAAGCTGAGCCGACATCGTCATGATGTTCAAACACTATTTCCATCCCTCCTTCCCTCCCCTTAACTCCTTTTCATGGTATTACGTATCAAAGTGTCCGAAAATAGAAGCTTGCGATATGAAGGAAAATGACCTGTCTAAATAAATAATGGTTCTGCTTTAACTTTACACGACACTGCGCGCGTGTCTCCTGCCATCAGTCTCCAAAGTATCCAAAGCATCGCGCCCTTTTGTCAGGTAACCGGGCGTGTGTTCAACTTCAACCTTGGCGGGGAGGCGGAGAAGCTGGACGACATCCTGGCCTACCCGGTGCTCGGCTCCAACCACCGCTGTCCGAAGTTCACTTTCAAGATGACACTGAACAAGGACCGTGTCATCATCAACCCCGACATGGTCATCATGCTGAGGGTTTACTGCTACGAGGATCTCAACAGGTAATGGCAGATGCCAGCGCAGCGTCGAGATGTAATGCCCATTACGGGCCTCGTGATCTGCCCGCACGATGTGCACACAACCAAAGATTTATCTATCCTCCACCAATATTGGCTGGTCCTGTCCCTGGCGAGCAGCAAATTCCCGTCCACCATTTTGTAGGAATCTGGTTAGCTTTTGGGAGTGTATGACATGGCGTGTCTAAATCCCCAGTCGCACGACCGCAACGCTTTGATAAATCTCATCTCACATGCGTTGGTGGCCTTCGCCTAGCTTAAACACGTCACACCGGTATTGTTGGCGCATTGCAGTCGGCGGTGGCAACGTCCTAAGCTCTCACACAAGTCGACGATGAAAGCGGAACGTTTGAACGCCACTGATAAGCTCAGGCAGACTATTCACTTTGGCAGTACAGGCGGAAGATGTGACGTAAAACACGATGATAGCATGAGTAAAATATGCGACGTCAAAAATACACGTAGCATATGTGGTTTCGCTTAGCGTATGGTGGAAATGGCTTAGTTGCGCTCAGAAGTATAAAAGCATGTTTTGAGTTGCATAGGGTTAGAGGTATGTTTATACTTCACCCGACGCATCACGGCCATAATTGACGGCTAGTTGCGATGCATATTTGCTTATTCGATTAATATTAATAGCAATATATTCGTTGCTTATTCGACTGAGTCTGTTGGATTGTGGTTTTAAGTTTTACACGACTTTAACGTTAGCGAGCTAACCCGCATTTAACTTCACCTGGAGTGTGCGCATATATGATAGATATTGTTCCGGTTATCCATGACATACTTATTCCCGATATACACAAAAAGTGGTCTCCCCAAATTTAGCCGACTTTCTCCTCAAAGCTGGGGGCTGGAGCCTCCCCCCCCCCCCCCTCCTCCAAAAACATAAAAATAATAAGAGGGAGCTACACCCTGTTTAGCGCGGTAGTAAGTGTGCCACTTTCGCGGTCGCCTTCAGCGCTGACCTTGCGATACGTTGGTCACCGATGCCTTCCAGCTATAGATGCTGTCTCGGTTCTAGCCGTGACAGCGGTGCAGGCCTCTGTGACCTTTGCAGATAGCCAAGGTCGCACACAGACAGACGGTGCATACAGCGACCTTTGAAACCAGCCGCGCCGGTATCTTACCAGCCGGTCCAAAACGCTATCAACCAGGCCGAAATGTTCCGTGACAGTCGGGGAACATTTGGCCCGATGTCGTCGGTGAACGAAACAGGCGTCTAACCTGGCGCTGCTTACCTGACACGGATTGCTTTGGGCTGGCTGGATGTGTCGTTACATTGTGCGGCACAGAAATGATCCTCGGTGTTTTCTTCCGAGGTCCGCGGACTCCAAGAGGTGTTTGTGAGTGACAGAGCCTTGTGTTGACGTGAATACCACGCAGGAATGAGATAATTTCTGCACAATGAAATTTGATGTACTGTGGTATGTCCTGGTATCTGAGGCCTTATTTTCTGTCGAATATGACGTTCTGACGGATGGGCGCAGCACAACTGGCCACGTAGCGCGGAGGAACGTCACATGATTGACGACCATCGCCGTGCCACTAAATGAATATGTACTGCGTTTGACCGGCACGGTTTTGAATCATGTTCTGGTTAGTGGCGATGCTGTTTTATTTTTGCCATATAGACGTCCAATAGCATGAATCCATCCGTCTCTGCAGCCAGATGGTGGTGGTTGGCACGACTCTGGTCGGGCCGTTCGACTCGACCAAAGCCAAGCCGGTGCTGCGTGTTGGCGGCCACCAGCAGCGTATCCGGGTGGGCCTGCCCAGCTTCGAGGGCGGCGTCAGCAACCTGCTGCCGACGGACATGGACAGGAATCCTGTGATTCCGGGCCTCACGCTGCTGTACAGACTGCTCCCGCACACCGAGGTAACGGCCAGCGCCGGCGATCCGGGGCCTCACACTACTCTACAGGCTGCTCCCTCACACCTAGGTGACGCCCAGCTCCGGTAACCCGGGGCCTGCTGCTCCCTCCCACTGAGATGACGCCCAGCTCCGGTGACCCGGGGCCTGCTGCTCCCTCACGCCGAGGTGACGCCCAGCTCCGGTGATCCGGGGCCTCACACTGCTGCGCAGGCTGCCCCCTCACACCGGGGTGACGCCCAGCTCCGGTGGCCCGGGGCCTCAAGCTGCTGTACAGGCTGCTCCCTCACACCGAGGTGACGCCCAGCTCCGGTGACCCGGGGCCTGCTGCTCCCTCCCACCGAGGTGACGCCCAGCTCCGGTGACCCGGGGCCTGCTGCTCCCTCCCACTGAGATGACGCCCAGCTTCGGTGACCCGGGGCCTCACGCTGCTGTACAGGCTGCTCCCTCACACCGAGGTGACGCCCAGCTCCGGTGACCCGGGGCCTGCTGCTCCCTCACACCGAGGTGACGCCCAGCTCCGGTGACCCAGGCGACCGTGCTCCTTACTGGCGGAATCGTGGGTCTAAACATTGTGGGTGCGTGACGCCCTGGAAGTTGAGTGTGTGACGAAGACCACTTTTTTGAACGAATATTGGGCATGTCGTTGAGGTCATCGTGGGCTGCTCTGAGAAGCATGTCTTCGGGGAAGTTCACAAAGGAACTTCAGATCTGCTCTGGACGGTTGAACCATTGCCCCTCGCGGCTGGAACCTTCTGACGGGGATGTCAAGCACTGCTGTACTTACGGGGGTGTTAAGCGACACTAATGTCTTCTCGTTTATGGTGAGGTCTGTTTGTATTTGACGGGAGCGGTTGAAACCCGAAAGCGGCTTCAGTATGTGAGCCCGTTTGTTAGTGCTTAAACTATACTTTAATCTTTGTTATCGCCACGTCGTTATCACTTCTAATTGTCATATCTTCAACGCTTCATTCGCTTTCCGCACTGTCGAGACGGATGTTGGTACGACTCCCGCTAATGCGACACCGGATACGACAGAGGACAAGGTGTTGGACGAGAGGAGGACGAGACGGATGTTGGTACGACTCCCGCTAATGCGACACCAGATACGACAGAGGACAAGGTGTTGGACGAGAGGAGGACGAGACGGATGTTGGTACGACTCCCGCTAATGCGACACCAGATACGACAGAGGACAAGAGAAACAGGGTGAAATCATGATATAATCTGGCGCTTCTATCTTTTAGTAAAGTATTTGTGAAAAAATATTATATTCGCTGTTAGTAAACATGTCCCGAGTGGTTTGTATCGAGGATACGGGCTCGCAACACTAGTTACGCGAGATTTGTAGCGAATACCCTAAACCTACTGTCCAAGCCATACCACCCAGTTCAACGGATCGCCTCCACACTTTCACCAGAAAGGATTACGGAGGCCGACACGTGGCGAGGAATGCTGGGACACGGCCTCCCCGGGCGTCGGGCCGCTCTTTGTTGGCCAGCTGCGAGCTGACGTTTTCATGACCGGACTCGTGCCAAGTGCCGCTGGAAAACGAAGCCAGCGTGTTTTCCCCAAGCTGTGGATGCGACTACCTCCTCTATTTTGAACGATATCTCGTGGTCAGTCTCTCAGGCTCCTTCAGATCCAGTCGACTACTTACGTTTTTTTTTTCACTCTTGTGCATATCATGTCATGCCAGAAGCATAACATTTTCTGGTTCAGAATGAATGTATAACATCATCTGATGTCATCCCACGGCCTGCAAATGACCTCACCTCCAGCAAGCCTCGCACAAGCAGGGGCGCAGCTCAGCCCTTTTGATTCATGATATAGCAACTTTTGGGATACCTTGGCGTCAACTTCAGGGCCTTCAAGGACAAGAACATTCTAAATGTAGCCTTGGCCTCGGATTGCTTTGAACGTTGTCATGAGCACTGATAGCAGGCATTCTATATCACCTAATTTAACACTTCCCAAGCCCTCTAAGCAAAGCAATATGTTGCGTTTGCAGTGAAAATAATGTGTCATGATCTGTCAATGTTTTCAGCACAATTTAGCCCTGAAGACCTTCCAATGTGAGGTCGCATCTCGGTAACACGGCTTGGTTAGGGTGAGCTGCGAAGACCACCCCGCACTGGCCACTTGCCGTTGCGTGGCGTCACCCAGCGATGCAGGGCGGCGCGTAACAGAGAGGCGGCGCACCGTTGTGTAGCCAGTGAGACTCCGCGAGGCACCCCGTGCTGCAGCGTACGTGCGAGGCAGGACGGACTGCCGCTTCTCTGTAGGTGAAACTGGAACTCGAGGCAACTATCTCCGTCCATCGTAAGGTATTTCTGTGAAATACACCATTAACTTTCGCACCGATAGAACGGGTCGATGCAACCCCCTAATGTGTTTTTGAGGAAACCTCTCGGGCATGTCGTGCAATCACATCTAAATTTTCGCTAGCTTATGGAAGGTCTATTGCGTATGGCTTGACACCAAAAACTTGTTCCTATTTTTTCTGGTTTCGGTGCGGGGGGGGGGGCTTTTGAGGAACACGGCACGACGATCTCCGTCCTGAGCGGGCGGGCTGGCGACGACCGAGAATGCCGAGGAACGCGCGCGGCGGCCTACATTGCTACCTTAACGGAGCATTATCTTATAAATGTGTGCTTAAAACGCATTACAAGATACGTTATTGTTCTCAGAATTGAAAGGAACATGTCTGAATAAGTTTGGTGTCGCCCCAAGGCGTGGTCTTGTAGTTATGATGTAAAGTTAAAAAGGACTATTTTCTGGAACATATGACCTTTAACCTGTCATAATGGGGTTCATTATGAACCTAACATCATACAAACTACAACCAATCGCGAGATCTTTCTAAGACCTATCCACTGATATCTTCTGTTAAGCTCTATCCTCAGTACTTTAAAAACGTCAGGAGTCGCATCACCCCTCCCCTCCCCCCCCCCCCTATCAGGCCGTGTTACGATAAAACGTCGATTCAGGGCTAAGGTCAAATGCTATCTTGGTTAGATGAGGTCTGTTGTCGGAGCACCGGTGAGGAATGAATCTGACAGTGACCGTCTGATGCAAACTACTGCGGTAGTTTGTTTATAGCAACGTGCGCGAGATTTCGGCTGCTATACACTTTTTAAATTCCGTTCCGTTTCGCATCGCAGCTTAGCAAGAAGCGGCCAACGTGGTGCGGCTGTAGTTGTATTTCCAACGTAGGTGTCGTAAAGTTCATCACGATTTGCTGAATCGCTCGGGAAACATTCTTTGCAGATCTGGGAGGCCCCACACACCGCACTGGAGGGTGCAAATAATGTATTAATAACGGCTGTTATCGCCCATTTTACGTGTTGTTGCGTCACCAGTACCGGCTGAGCTGAATGGCTGGTTTTATCGTGTTCTGGAAATAAGTAGGAAACCTGCGCAATGAGTTGATATGGCTTTCCTTTCCGTGAAAATCGATACATGTGACAGCTACCATCGTTCCGCGTCTCGTGGTGGTCTTTTCTCGAAACACGTTTGCTAGCGACGGCCGTGGAACATGCTCATCATTTATTCATTTACTCGTGTTCGCAACACTGCCAACCTCAACATTGTATGCAATTTGGCTCCGTTTGAACTGATTTGGCACTGGACTTACGCGAATTGTGCATGCATATAATATACGACACAACTTCTCGCAATACACTATATGTACACGTGGTATTATATGGATACTCATGCAGGCACGAAAGCAGTTAAAAACAAAAAAAACGGACACTATGAAGAAGATTTGCTAGAACAAAAAAAGTAAGTACACACAATTTACAACCAAATATCTAAATGGCGCTGAGTTATTCCGACTGCCGAGGTAGGCGTTGCTACTGCGTTTATTTCCAAGCTTTGAGTCGCCGACATGGTATACTTCCAGGACGAAGCACGCACTCGATAGAGCGTAATTATTGAAAAGGCATTCACGTCCATACATTTATTGATTTATAGATAATACAGTACTAATAGCCTTATTCCTCGTAGAAAAACCAGGAGAATGGAGATATAGATGGGGTGATATTTTGGCAGTATGCCTTACCAAAACGAATCAGTGCTCTATTACTACTGATGCTCGTTTTGATAAGGGCATGTTGCTGAAATATGAACGCACCATATCTCTATCCTCCCAGTTTTTCTACGAGGAAAAAGGCTATTACTACTGTCTATATGCACAATCATCTATCATCTATATCATCCATATGCACAACGTTCCCTTCAAATGCACTTAACAGCTTGCATTTAAGATTTGTTGGTGATGCGGCTGCGGCAGCCACCAATGTTTGTTATATTTAACATCTATTGTAAATGGTGAAATGTACCTCATCCTTCCCACATCAGAGAGTTGAGCAGATCCACAGGTACGACAGGTCCTGTGGAGAAATGCACCCTAGTTCGAAGTCGGACCCAATTCGTTTCGATCACCCAGAACAACCAAAAAGTTAATTAACTGAAGGTGCTCGAAAAATGTGACATGCCGTGAAACAAAGCTGTCCTACCTTGCTGACACAGCGGCCTGTGTGTGCGGCGGAGCGCGGTGGCGGCGCTAGATTACGGATTGCGCTACTGACACAGCGATCTGACACAGCGACAGAGCGCGGTGGCGGCACCGGAGTACCAGTCGAGATACTGACACAGCGGCGTCTGTGTGTGCGGCAGGGCGCGGTGGCGGCGCCGGAGTACCAGTCGAGCTACTGACACAGCGGCGTCTGTGTGTGCGGCAGAGCGCGGTGGCGGCGCCGGAGTACGAGACGCGCTACTGACACAGCGGCGTCTGTGTGTGCGGCAGAGCGCGGTGGCGGCGCCGGAGTACGAGACGCGCTACTGACACAGCGGCGTCTGTGTGTGCGGCAGAGCGCGGTGGCGGCGCCGGTGTACCAGTCGAGACACTGACGCAGCGGCGTCTGTGTGTGCGGCAGAGCGCGGTGGCGGCTCCGGAGTACGAGACGCGTTACTACCACAGCGAGCCGTGCGAGCCGGGCGAGTCGGAAATCCGCCTGTTCCGGCACTACCTGAGCCGCGACACGGCCAGCATGACCGTTGGGGACTGGTGCCGCCAGTTGCAGGACCGCGAGCAGATGCCCCAGTACGTGGACGGGCCACATCTCCAGGTGAGGCTGTCGCCCTTAGACTGCCGCCGTGACGGGCGCCGCAGGGCGCGCTCACACCGCACGTCCAGGCCGCGCGGAGGCGGATCTCTGGTGTGGCCTTGGCATTTAGACAACAGATGGGCCCGACTGATGCATGACGCTGTGGTCTCGACGCCCCGAGATGAGGTGGCCCCTTCTGGATCGATCTCAGTCCTCGGATTTTCCAAACCCAAGATTCAGACCGGTTAGGGAGCAAAAATGGCTTGTTGTAATCCGCTCATGTTGATTAAACATGAATTGTGATAAGCCGCTTAGCCTTCAGCCGTCTTCTGACACTATGTCGCCATAACCTCGCGATAATATCCGCAGCAGCGGTAGAAAACCTGATCTTAAGCCTCATCGTGGAATCTCCCCGGTCCCGCAAGCCCGTGCATTGCTTTAAATGCTAGATTCCTTGTGAGTTTCTGCCCATTTATCATAAGACGAACTGACTAATCTCGCTTGCACAACAGTCATGGATGGAGAAAATGCTGGAGGCCAAGAAGGAAAAGGACAAGAAGTCGCCTGTGCCAGACCTCGACCTGCAGAAGTTTATACACTACGACATTCAAGTGGGCGTTAGCGTGCTACTGGAACAGGCATTCGGTCTCCCAGGTGAGGGATACAATAGCCATCCGGGTCCGAGCAGCCGCCCGGCGCTCACCATCCTCCTAAGTCGACCGCAATGCACTTCGTTGTACCCGACATAAATCCTTGAGTCTACATATGTATTTGCATGCCATTTGTGATTCATGTTCGGATGATCGCTTGGATTCACATGAAACCAGACCTCAAGATTGTTGGGATTGTCCATTTGTGGTGATATGCTCCGATATGTCCGACGAGATTTGGGAAGAGGCACAAGGTTGGGTTTTTCAGTGGCGCAGTAGTTCGGTCTGAATTCACTGCGGTCATTCTCAGAAAAATGATTCCAGGAACTGTGCTGGTGCTGAAACAGTTCAATGCGTCGGCCCTGAAATGAGCATTCAGTTGGCCTTCTGTGTTGCTAGGATTTGCTGAGGGGAGGGAGGGATGAAACTTTCTTCCGAGTGATCACAGCCTTGTTCTCCACCAGCTGATGGAAGCCCATTCCCTACTTTGGGGCAGGCCCTTTCCTTACATATGACGCCACGACCAGAGCCCATTCCCTACTCGGCCGAGCAGCGAAACAAGCGCATTTGGTTGCAAGTAAGCCGTCAGTACGGTCGCAGCAGCGCATGACAACGGTCGGTGCGCTATGAAGGTCTTGTGTGACCGGCAGATAGCCAGGTGGCGATCTGACGTGGAAGGTGCGGTCAATAATTATGCTTAGAGCTACAGATCACTTGCCAAAAACTGCTTTTGGAATAATATTCAAGCGCACCATTTCTGCGCTATATGTCTGTATGGGGTTGGATCAGCTGGTTCTACTTGTGCCCATATTTGGAATAAAGGTGTGCGCCATTGGCGTGTATTTATGACGCTGCTTCAGTGGGCGGAGCTTGAGCCGTAAGTCGCTGAGGAACTGGGCTCGAGCGGCACGAGGCTCTGGTACAAAAGGTGGTTTTCTTGTTTTCACACGCTTCTTGCCGAAAGTAGAGCTAAATTTATGCAGAGGTCTCCTAGGTTGAATTTATGCGAAATTTTACCGTATGATGAAAATGGACATTCATTGCTATCAACATCTCGTCAGCTCACATAAACACATCGAAGGAAAATTGTTCATAGAAAATGGAAAAGGAGAATTTTAGAAAAATTGTGTACTGTCTGCATTCACACTGGTCCCGAACTTGAACAATACACTTTTTACCCGTTGGAGACCGGTAACGCCCGATGTGATGGACAACCAAGTCCGTGCTAACACCTAAGAATGTCTCATGAGATATTTGAATCGAAACACAATTTATCTTGAGACATGCGTTTTTTAGGTGGTAGCTTATCGTATTAGCGGGCTTCCCTGGCTAATAATTGGTTGATATCGCATATAAGAGGGCAGCCATCAAAATTATTCGAGAACCGTCGTTTATATTAAAGATGTAGGCTTGTCAGCGACAAATGACTGGAGATGGTTGAAATGACATGCCCAAATGAAGAGATTTAAGGTACACAGGGTGCTGCCCAACAATAAAAACGCAAAAGGACTGTCATGTGTCATAACAACGTTGCGCACCTGGTTGTGCTTGCACCACGAAGGGCCTCCTTAATGAAGATCAAGGTATTTAACTACAGTTGAGGTTTGTTCTTGGTCAGTTTCAGTTAAAGAGAATGTCCCACACTTGAAGACATTGAAGTAAGCATCCGACATGGTGAAATAAGGCTACTTATAGCTATTGGTGCAGTTTTAAGGTGAAAAAGACTGCTCATGACAGCAAAATGTAGTTCATTTAGTAAGCATGCTCCTCAATACATAATTGTCTGTTTGCGTCAGGGAAGGTTTGTGTGACGTTGAGATGTTGCCACACTAGCCGTGCGAAGTTGCCACCTTTGCACCACTCGGTTGTAGTACTCCAAACTCGCCGAGAGATGGCAGTGGTAGTACCGGAAGTGTTCGCTCAACCAAATGTGTATCGGCCCTTTGTCGTGGTGTTCTTGCATATCTATCCGTGAGATTAAGATTTTTTATTGTATTCGCGTCCTTGGTTATGACGCTTTTTGGTAGTTATTTTATTAGAAGTCTCATCCCATAATAGCTGGCAATCATGTCCAAATTCCTATCTTATGCAGCACAAAACGTGATAGGTGACTGAAACTTGCACAATTTGCTCAACATTGGTTGTGAACGAATGGCCTAGGAAACGGTTGACGATGACATGACGTGTGAGTGCCCTAGATGTGAACATCGTGCACATGGACGCTAGATATGAATGGTTCGACGATGATATTTTTCCTGGCCTTGAACGCCGCATGACCTATAGGATGACATGATTTCATTGGCGTTGTTATGGAGTGATGTGTGCTGTGTGGCCTTGAAATAGTTCGCATAAAATGATCTGCACATCGGTGTGCGTAACTCAGAAGCTGGAGGGTTTTAGGCCTAAAGGACAGGGCTGTAATCTGTATCGAATAATCGCAAAAAATGTTGTCTCGGCTCAAAACACCACACAAATGTGAAAAACTCCCTTACAGACGAGCACCAATGAACTGCTTATTAACAGCTGGCTGACCGTGAGCCGAAGTGACAAATGAACGCCAATGATAGCGTGCTGTTAACGAACACCTGGTGAACAGATCAATCTTGCAGTAAATTGTCAATAAGTGTGTTTGGGGACTGAACATCCAGCGCTGTCGCGTCATTGCGTGATCTTTTTGCGATGTTCTCGCCGTATGGACTCCTCAGTTTACTCCTCAATGCTGACTGAAGGCATTGGTTTCACCGTGCGCATCGCTTGCGCACTCGCCAATGCCTGGGACACCCAGACGCCAGCCAAACTCCTGAGCTGAGCGTCAAAGTACAACTAAAAAACCTAAAACCTGCTTGAGCAGAAAACGCACTGCACGCGCTTTTGTGCATCGCTGATCTCCACGAACAAAGATGTGCCATAGTATTTCAGGAATGACAGGCTGACTGGGAGCAGCCACACTCATCCTTATGACGCTCCGTTGGGACTATCACTGTTCAGCAAAAGTGTTGACTTGCAAGAGACTTCAGTCGTAATTTTTTCTCCAAAAATGAGAACTTGCGTAGCGTAACGTAGGTCCCAACATGGCCTTGGTGAGCAAATCTCACAAGCTTACAGCAGAAGTCGCTCCGGTTAGCTTGGCAATACATATGCAACAAACTGCATGACTCGTCACTTGTGGCGCATCTCCCAGATTTTCAATTTTCGACAATTTCCATCTCGATTGCTCGATTACGGGGCCTGTATGCTTGAGTTTCGTTCAAAGGAATTGCACAAGATGTCTGCGGGTAACGTTATTTTCATTTACTTGGTATTACTTTCATGATCATTCATTTCGAGAGAGAGAGAGAGAGAGAGAGAGAGAGAGAGAGAGAGAGAGAGAGAGAGAGAGAGAGAGAGAGAGAGAGAGAGAGGGAGAGGGAGAGGGAGAGGGAAAGAGAGACAGAGAGAGAGGGAGAGAGAGAGGGAGAGAGAGAGAGAGGGAGAGAGAGAGGGAGAGAGAGAAATGTATATATATATATATATATATATATATATATACATATATATATATATATATATATATATATATATATATATATATATATATATATAAATTACCAATGACATGATAATTTGCAGTTACCTTGCCAAGAGGACTATGGTGCGGAACTTAAAACTTCAAAATGTTTCAGCTTTTATTTCCGTTGCAGCCTTTGAAGATTTTAAAACATGTTTGTAAAGACGTATGCGTTATTACATTTGTGGTTTGTTGCTTATAAGCTAGGGAATGCTTGTGCGACAGTTATGCCACCTGGTACTATAGTAACGAAACTTTTCGAAGCTTTTAAAAAGGTTCGTTTGCATGTCTAACGCATACGCGACATATTCTGACTGACTGACTATATTCTGGCTGCGGCCGTGGAAAAAGGCATGCATTATCTCGAGAGCACACTTATTTATAAATGGTCCAGTCCACGTCTCGTTCCACACGGCACCGATGTTAACAGAGATTGTGTGGCCCGGCATGCAACGTCTTCGACAGTTTTACACGGTTTCCAGGCCGGGTATTATCCGATGATCCGAGTGAACTAAACGCGTTAACTAAACACCCAAATGACTGTAACTAAAGGAGACTTGTGTCGTCGTGTAAACCCACTCTGATTTCGATAAACGTCTTTTGATTATTGAATGCGAATGGTATCGTATGAGCCCAATTATTTACATGCCAATTTTCCAGTGCATGCTAAAACTCCTATTAAAACATCCTGCAGATTTTTTCATGTTTCAGCACTGTGGTGCTTTATGAGCGTGGCTAACAGCCGTTTTCACGAATTATTTCGATGCAAAACATTAAAGAGATTTAGTGTTTACTCTTGACAGCACACATTTTGTCAGTGGTTTTAGCTAGACATATATTGTTGAGATTTCAAAAATATGTTTGTGAAGACTTACAACTGGATAAAATTGTGGCTGGGCGATTGTAACCAAGACCGTGTCTTTATGGGGATGTATGATACCAGATATCCATCCTTTCGAAATTTTAGAAACTGTTGAAACATTTGGTGGCAAGTCTGACGCAGACGCAACAACACAAGCTCACATATACTGGTTTCATCCCTGTTCATAGGCATGCGGTACTTCAGTGCTTACATACCTCAATATGATGCACCTTGAATGATCTTCAAGCCTGCCTTGTTTCACACCGACCGATGTCAACAATAATGACGCAGCCAGGCATCTAACACCCTGGCCAGATTCACATGGCTGGCTGCCAGGCCTGGTATTTTCCTGGAATTTAGGTGAAGTAAAGGCATGCACTGAATAAAAAGTGCCGTTAAGGAGTCTCGTTTCATATAATTAACTTGTTGTGCGTTGAATATACGTGTTTTGTTGAAAGAATTAAATACTTTCATTCGTTGAAAACTTTCCAGCGCGATTGATTTATCGTGAATACGGCTTGTATGTGAAAGTTTCTTTAGTTGCACCGCCACATATATATATATATATATATATATATATATATATATATATATA